GCCTCCTGAGTGCTGGGATTAAAGGTGTGTGCCACCACGCCCAGCTAAAATATTTTATTATTATTATTATTATTATTGTTTTTTGGTCTTTTTGAGACAGGGTCTCTCTGCAGCCTCAGCTGTCCTGGAACTCACTATGTAGACCAGGCTGGCCTTAAACTCACAGAGATCTGCCTGCCTCTGCCTCCCGAGTGCTGGGATTAAAGGCGTGAGCCACCACGCCCAGCATATTTTATTATTCTTATTTTATGTGTACAAGTGTATTGCCTGCATGTATGTGAGTGCACCTATGTTGTGCAATGCCATGGAGGTCAGAAGAGGGCTTCTAATTCCCCTGGAACTGGAGTTAAGGACGGTTTGTAGCCGCCATGTGGGTGCCTGGGAATCGAACCTGGGTCCTCTGCAAGAGCAGTCAGTGCTTTTAACCGCTGAGCCATCTCTCCAACTCCCTATTTTTATTTTTTAATGTATATGAGTGTATTGCCTGCATGTAAGTAGGGTGCACCCATGTCGTGCAATGCCCACAGAGAACACTGGAAGAAGAGAGTGTTGGATCCCCTGGAACTGGAGTTATAGACAGTTATTAGCTGCCATGTGGATGCTGGGACAAACCAGGTCCTCTGCAAGAGCAGTTGGTGCCCTTAACTGCTGAGCCATCTCTCCAGCCACCTAAGTTTAATTTTACAATAGGCTTTCTGATGTTTGGCAAAGGCAAATAAGTTTCCCTACCACCTGACTTTTACGTTTTTTTTCAGTGATGGGAACTGAATCCAGGACTTTCCATATGCTAGGTGTGATATACTTCTGTGCTAAGTACCCAGCCTTCATTCTTTTTAAAAAATATTTTATTTTTTATTTTATGTATATGAGTGTATTGCCTACATGTATGTAAGTGCACCCATGTCGTGCAATGCTGCGGAGGTCAGAAGAGGGCTTTGGAGTCCCCTGGAACTGGAGTTAAGGACGGTTCGTCGCTGCCATGTGGGTGCTGGGAATCAAACCTGGGTCCTCTGCAAGAGCAGTCAGTGCTTTTAACCCCTGAGCCATCTCTCCAGCCCCCCAGTCTTCATTCTTTGTTTGAAACTATTATTGCTTTTTCTGGATACTTAATTTGCCTATAAATTGTGTTAACTTTGGTTGGAAGTGCAGTTTGGTGGTAGAGTACATACTTAGCATGTGTGAAGCCCCGAGATCAACCCCAGCACAGCCTCCTCCATTCCAAAAGACAGAAGGCTGAAGATATAATTCAGTGGGTAAAATGCTTACTTAGCTGCAACAAGGCCCTAGGTTTCATTTCCAGCATCACATAAAACCAGGTGTTGTGGTGCACGCCTGTAATCCCAGTGTTCAGGAAGGTGGAGGCAAATGCCCCTATAAAGGGAGCTTGAAACCAGCCTGAGTTTAGAGACCCTGTAAAAGGCTTTTTTTTTTTTTTGAGACTGGGTGTCATGTAGCCTAGGCTGGCCTCCAACTTGCTGAACTCTTCCTGCCTTAGCCTCCCAAGTGCTGGGATGACAGGCATGAATTAACTAAAACTAATGTTAGTGGACATCTCTGAATAGTTTTTATTCTAATTGAAAATTATCTCAATATTTAACTATGTAGAATAATACTGATTTGTTGGCACTATAGCTCAGTGGTACAGTACTTGTCTAGCATGTGCAAGGCCCTGGGTTTAATCTTCAGTACTAAAAAGTAATGATATTACACTGGGCATGGTGGCCCACAACTTTAATCCCAGCACCTGAGAGGCAGAGGCAGGCGGATCTCTGTGAGATTGAGGCCAGCCTAGCCTACATAGTGAGTTCCAGATCAACTGGAGCTACAGGGAAACCCCATCTCAAAAAGGCTAAGGGAAAAAAAAAAAAAATTGATCAGGGCTACATATTGAGACTCTGTCTCCCCTCCTCAGAAAATTTTTTTGACTTACTGATATTCCAATACCAGTATATTAACTGCTTTAATTAAAGTTTGTTTTTTCAGAGTGACTGTTGAAAAGATTCCTTTCAGCATCTGTTGATATGATCATATACTTTTTTCTTTAATAACATTATGTTGAGAGATTCTATGCCATTAAACAAATTCTAGTTCTGGAATAAACTATTTGACTAGAGCATAGTATTTTCCAAGTTCAGCAATGTATTCTATATTTGGGTAATTTTACATTTGTATTTTTAATTTATTTCCTGTTTTTTTAGTATTTTAAGTTTTCGTTTGCGTGTTTAAAATTTTTTTAAATATTGCATTATATATGCATATTTTTTTTTTGTCTTTTCGAGACAGGGTCTCCCTGAAGCCCCAGCTGTCCTGGAACTCACTATATAGACCAGGCTGGCCTTGAACTCACAGAGATCCACCTGCCTTTGCCTCCCAAATGCTGGGACTACAGGTGTGTGCCACCACACCTGGCAGTGGCAATAGTTCTTAACTGGCAATTATTTCACTTTATTTTTGCTTCTTGAAATAAGAGGCTTGGTTTTGTGGCCCTTGAATATAATTCTTCAGATTCACTTATATCTTGGTAAAGCTCTGGAAAAAAGAAAAGAATAAAAAGCTTTTCAGCTCTGGTTTTCCTGGTGTCTGGAGGAGACAACCAATGGTCTGTGGATATAGGTAGTTAACTAGCATGTAAGGTTTTGGGTTTGACTGGCAGCATCACAAAACAAAAGAAAAATTAAAGTTCTGAAAAAGGTGGATCCCAGTTTGCTGGGAGAACATTTGGCACTTGATAGTAAGTAAAAAAGGTGGACTTGATGCTAGGGAGGTTGGTCCCTTCCCAGCTGTATGGGACCTTTGGACAAGGCAAAGGGCTCCCACTGGTTGAAAGGCTGAGGACAGTGCCCCAAAAGTCCTTCGGGATCTTAGTGCTCCTCTCTCCGGTACCAGAAGACAAGGCCAAGCCACATGCCCACTGGCTGGTTGTTTCTACTGGCACTGGCTCAGGCAACAGCAGGTGATGGGGAGAGCCTGGCTCAGCCCCCCTCCCTGGGAGCCAGTAGCACTGAGGAACAGGGCGGGTAAGAGGGTGTTGGGCTCCCCAACTCTGACACCCCCTCCCTACCCCAAGAAGCCCTTTCAAAGGATTTCCTGGCAAAGTGCAAAGCTTCGATTCATTCAATTGCTTGGCTTGAGGCCCAGGATGTAGGGATGCTGGGAAGGCCCCAAACCTCACCTTAGCTGCCCCCAGTTTCTTGGGACCCTGGCTGGCAGTCCTCTTGCTGGTCTCTTCATCTAGGAACACCCACCCCCTTCCCCTTGGAACCCAGGTACCCTCTCCCTCTCCTGTGGAGCAGATGGGCACTCCAGAGACTCAGGCTTGCTAAATCAGACATTTAAATCCCATAATCCTTGGGGAGAGGCTGCAGGGAGGACAGCAGCAGCCCAAACCTAAAATAGGGGTGGGTGAAAAGTGTGTGCCAGTCCTGGCAGGAGGAACAGTTGGTTCCTAAGTTATGAATGGAGTCACCCCTCTCCCTTGTTGTCATGCAGCCCACAGACTGACCCAGTCCTCAGCTTTGTTCCTCTTCTGGAACCCAAGTACTCCACCCCCAACCCAATACTGCCTGGACTCAGGTGGCTGCCTCTTAAATTCAACCATGCACCTGGGGGCCCAGGCAGCCTATGCTGACACCAACCCCTCAAAAACACAAGTGATAGCAAAGTTTTATTGTAAAATGGGAGTTTGATATATAAAAGGGGGCTATAAAAAGGGAGAGGGGGTAGGGTAATAAATGCAGTTGTGCTTTGCAGAATAGGAAGAACTGATCCTGAGTGGGGGGAGGGGGAATGGGTCTAGTGGATATGGACCCTATGAGAGCCCAAGATAGAATCTTACAGGGTGTGGGATAGGGTGAAATTTCATTTTAGGTGCCAGGGTTCAACAAATAGCTGGATAGGATTTCGCTGGGCCAACAGAGACTTGGCAACTACTAACCTATCCCTCAACAGGGGTAAGGAACCAGCACTCACAGAGGGGGCCAGTACTCAGCCACAAGGTAATAAAAGGTGGTTGAATGGAAAAACATGATTTCATTAATCCTGACCAAAAAAACCCCAAAAAAACCCTGTAGGTATGATGATCTGTATTCCACAGCTATTCCAGTTGGGAAAAGTAAACTTGAGATACTTTCTTGGTTAGAGAACTGGGTGGGGCTTCAACATACCATATGGCCAAATTCTAACCCCACCTACAAGAACATTTTCTTCCTCTCTTCTAAACTGTTTTCAGAAAAAAACTTAAAAGCTAAGCTAATGCATCTTAGCTCCCACCACCCTTCCCAAACATCAGTGATGCCTAGGTCAACCCAAGCAGGGGTTCAAGCACCCAAGTCATAAAATGCCAGGGAAGGATGGGTGGGAGGCTGCTGATAGGGGATAGGAGATGAGGGTATCAGTCTGAGTCAGGCCCTTCTCTCTTGATCATTAGTTTTTTATGACGGGAGGTAGACTGGCCCTTCTTGGACTTCAGGTAGCTGCAGGGAAGACAGAAGAGGGGAGAGATGATGTGAAAGGAGTGACAGTCTGGGCTTTTCTCCTTGACCTAGGATTGGCAGAAAGGGAATTCAAGTTAAGATGATCTCCACCATGTGTAGGAACATTCACAGAATATGTTGGAGTACTTCTGAGTATCAGTTTATCTTCCCTTACACCATTTAAAAATTATTATTTGAGGGGCTGGAGAGCTGGCTCAGTGGTTAAGAGCACTGACTGTTGTTGCAGAGGACCCAGGTTTGATTCCCATCACCCACATGGCAGCTACGAACCGTCCTTGACTCCAGCTTAGTGCAAGGCAGGGAGGAGACAAATCCTCTTCTGACCTCCACGGCATTGCGTGACACGGGTGCACTCACATACATGCAGGCAATAATACACTCATACACATAAAATAAAAATAATAAAAAAAATCTAAAAAAAATTATCATTGAGATAGGGTCTTGCTATGTGGCCTTAGCTAACCTGGAACTTGCTATATAGCTTATGTTGGCCTCTGCCTTTCTTTCTGCTGCAATTATGTGAGTGTGCCACGATGCCTGTTGTCCCTTACTCCATTTTATAAAAAGGAAACTGAAGCCAGGCGTGGTGTGCACATCTTTAACCCCAGCACTCGGGAGGCAGAGGCAGGTGGATTTCTGTGAGATTGAGGTGAGTCTGGTCTGCATAGCAAGTTCCAGGCCAGTTCTGGGCCAGCTGGGGCTACAGGAAGAACCTGTCTCAAAAACACCAAAAAATGAAAAAAAATAAAAATAATAAAAAGAGGAAAGTGAGCCTGAGATGGGGAGTAACTGTCACAGAGGACCCATCAGCACTTTGCAGGGCCGAGTAATTGAAGGATCCAAACTCCTCCAGCAGAATAGGTCCTGTTATCTTTTATCATGAGAAGGAAGAGTTGGAGGAAGGTCTGGGTAGGGGCTCCACAGCTAGGAGCTGGCCCAGGTTACTTACCTGGAGTGAGCCCTGCTCTCCCCTGAGTCCTTTTCAGCCTGAGTATCCTTGAGTTCCAAGGCTTCATTCAGCTCCCGGAACATCTCGAAGCGTTCACGCCCACGGATCTGTAGCAAGGGCAAAGGGGACAGACAGAAGTACTGGGTAAAGTCACAGACTCACTTCCATGATCTTTAGCAGCTTTCTTTTTGAAAGTTGGTCCCCAACTTATGATGGTTTGACTTACAATTTTCTGACTTTATGACGGCATGAAAGCAACAGGCATTCAGTAGAAAGTGCACATCGAATTTGAGTCTTTTCTAGTTAGTGTTATGTGGTAAGATACCTGGTTGATGCTGGGTGACAATGAGCTGCAGCTCTCAACAACAAAATCATGAAGGGAAAAAGAAATCAATCCTTGCAGTGCACTATGTTGCTAAGCTGTGGAGTTTGGTAAGTTAGGTAGATTAAATCACTGTATGTATATGTGTGATGTTGGGGATCAAGGCCCTGATGGATGTAATGCAAGTGCTCTGGAACTGAACTATATCCCTACATCTAAATATTTTGTTGTTGTTGCTTAAGACAGAGTCTCACCATTTGTAGCCCTGGCTAGCCTTGAACTTGCAGTGATCCTCCTGTCTCTGCCTCCTGAGTTCTGGGATTACAGGTGTGTGCCAATAGGCCTGGCTCCAAACACACTTTTGATATATGGTATTTTCATCTTGTGGATGTGCTTCCATCTTAAGCAGAAAAGCACTTGTTGGTGTTCTCAAGTCAGGTAGGTATAACCAGGAGCCACTGTCTCTGAGGCACTCCTGTAGAGTGAGGGTTTGCTCTAAGGCCAAATGCCCCAGGTACAGGCAAAGCAGTCAAAGAAGAAATAGTATATTGAGTATTACACTCAAAACTTTTAACCTGGTAGTAATACTAGTTTTATAAGTGCCAGGGACATGAAAAAAGGAAATAATGCTCAGACACAGCTTGTCTTTTCTTTTCCTGTCCCATTTAGCATACACAGGGGACTGTATATGTGACTCTCCCAGACTTGGTACCTTAAGGGTGAAATATTCTCCGTCTAGTGGTTTCTTCTTTGGTTGGGGAGAAGAGCTTGTGCCAGTGGGCAGTGCTGTGAAAGAGGAAAACAAACCAAGAGAGTGAATTTGGAGCAGAGCTGAACCTCTTCCTCTTCCACCTCCTCTTTCCCTGCTTGCTGACCTCGCTTAGTGCTCCCAGGGGGCAGTTCAGGGCACAGCTCCCCCTTTTTGCGGAAATTTTCTTCCTCTGTACGACGGTCTCTTCCAGGACAGGCACAAACTCGAACCTCAAAGCTGTTCCGTCCTAGCAGGTTTCCACTACCCAGAGTGAGACGGGAAAAAGGTGGTAAGAAAAGTTGGACCCTATTTTGCTGCGTTTTACAAACCAGGCTCCTCAGGCTCCCAACTGTCCTTGTCCTGTCTGGAGTCCAAGTTCCAGCTACAGGGACATTAAGAAGCTGCAGATAAGAAAGGTCTTTAAGCTAGAGAAGGAACAGAAGAAGACTTCATTTATGAGGATGGGAGTTAAGGAGGGCCAGGAGTGTGGTAGGGGGTGGGTCCTGAAGACAGAGACAGACAGAGGCTGGAAGAACATGCTAGTGTGAAGGGTGGCATGTGGTTTCCTACCTGGAGTCTTCCAGTGTGATAATAGTGAGGATAGGCCTCCGGTTCATGCCTCCCATGCAGGAGCTATTACACATATAGTTGTAGTGGATGGTAGTACAGTCAGAGCCAACCTGGAGGAGGACATAGGCCCCAGGTAAAGCTACCCCACCTCCATACTGGGGTGGAAGGACCTGCAGCATCCAGGAATGTCTACAGCCGCCAGGAAGCTTCAGTTTTATTTGTGGAGTAGGAATAACCTACCCATCTGTTCTGCTCATCTCCTAGGGTTGTGGTGCACAGGATGAGAAGCAAGTGGGCTGGAGATGTGGTAGAGCAAGCCCTCTACCTCCCACCAGGATGACCATTGACAGCCTCCTCTAGCCTTCCTCCCAGAGACCCAGTTGCCAAAGTAGACCTCAGGCCTGTAAGCCCAGGAGACTGAGGCAGGAGGATTGCTGCAAACTTGAGGTCAGCCTGGGCAACTGAGTGAGACTCTGTCTCAAAAAAACTAAATTAAACCAAGGAATGAAAACAAACAAAAAACAGACCTCAGGTGGCTCATATGGTACCACCACACTGTGTCGAAAAGTGTGCTTGTCATCCAAATACTCTGCACGTAAATTTCCTTCCACACGGATGAGATGTTGAGGAGGAGCCAGGCCTGAGAGCAATCAAGATGAAGTCAGAGGCTGGGAGACCCTAGGCAGCCAATTCTGTCCCATCTCCAGTCCTGGGCATTTACCATCGCTGTCAGAGCAGCGCTCATGGTGGGGGCAGCGCTTTACAACTTCTGTCATGTGTTGTGACTTCTTGTAGATGGCCATGGCACGGACACGGGTGCCAGGTGGAGGTGTAGAGTCGACCCACAGCTGCACAGGACATGTCTTTGCCAGCTGGCAGAACAGCTTGTTCAGGGGCGGGGAGTACTATAAGAGAGGGGAAAGAATAGAAGGTCAGGGGTCAGGCCAACAAATGATAAGGACCAAGGGATCCAACAAACAAACACTGTTTAAGCACCTACCTACTGGATTCTGGGTATCACAGTAGAGGACAGATAACAATGACATGATTGGAGTCTATATGCTAGATCCCCCCTTTTTTCTTTTTGAGACAGGACCTTACTATATAGCAAAGGTTGGCCTTGAACTTTTTTTTTGGTCTTTGTGAGATAGGGTCTCCCTGTAACCCCAGCTGTCCTGGAACTCACTATGTAGACCAGGCTGGCCTTGAACTCGCAGAGATCTGCCTGCCTCTACCTCCCGAGCACTGGGATTAAAGGTGTGCGACACCACGCCCGGCTGGCCTTGAACTTTTGATCCTCCTGCCTTAGCCTCTCCAGTATTGGAGTTAAGGGTGTGCATTATTCCACTGGGTACTGTTATTACTATGTTATTATTTATTTTTTTGGTGAGAAGGGGTCTTGTTATGCTGTCCAGGCTGGCTTCAAACACTTGGGCTCAAGCAATCCTACCCCAACCACCAATCAGCTGGGGTTCTATAACATGCACTATTGCATGCCACTGTGCCTGGCTTCAGAAGCTTATTTTCAAATTCAAGAAAGGAATGTGAAGAAAGAAAGTTCCATGTCCCCTAGGAATAGGAAGGGAAGGATGAAAAGCTAAGTAAAGTTCAGGGGCGGGGAAATTTAACTCTGAGACAGAGGTCTAAGTCCATAGACTAACAAAAAAACCCCAAAACCTGGACAGAAAAAAAAAACAAACAAAAAACCAGGCACAGAAAGGTCACAAGAAAGCCATCTCCTCAGGTTCACTGACCGTGCATGTGACAGATTTGGCTGTCCCTGAGTGCAGAAAGCCCAGACGGAAACCATAGCTGCCCTGGTAGGTTTTTTGGGAAGGGACTGAAGATGATAGAGGCCAGGGGGTGGCTGGTGGAGGAGCCACTGGTGCAGAGGTTTCTGTCACAGGGTCCCCTGTTATAGCAGCTGCTGGCACTTGGAGGGCCTCATCTGGATCATCTAACCAGTTTGCAACATCTTCTGGGGACAGCAGTAGATCTTCCATGGAATTGGGTGACAGTGGGGTGGACTGTGGATGGGACAAACCAGAATCTTAATGCTGGGTTCTTAGCTCACCAGCCCACCAAGTTCTCAGCCCCTTCCTGCCCTAGTCCTTACCAGAACATTGTTCTGAGGAAGCCTGAAAGACAAGAGAAGAGAGTCAGCACTACTGACACATGTATGTGTGTATATTGAGACAGGATCTCACTTATCCCAGGCTGGCCTCAAGCCTGTCACGTACTTGGGGAATACCTTGAACTTCCCATATGCTGAGGTTAAAGTCATTCACAAAACCATACCCTGTTTTAGCACTACTGATTTTGCTTCCTCTAGGCCTCTGGTAAGGGGTAGGGTGCTGAAGGTTCAGGTGGGAAGGGAAGCGTAAGGATGATGTACCTATAGGGGGCTCAGACGATCTACTCACAGTTTCCATAAGTCTGAAAATGTCTCCTGACTCAGGGGAGGTTCGATGCTGAGATCTGATTGTTGTTCCTCCATGGCAGCACACAGGAAGTTGGTCAGTCTGGCTACTCTGAGAAGAAAAGTGAGGATGGGCCTGATAACCAGAGAACCTTCTACAGTAGAGGACACAGCACAACTTCCTATGGAGCAGGAGTGGGACAGCTCCTGTCTTCTCTCAAGCTGCTCCTGTCTTGACCATAATCAGACTTTCTAATCATAGATTTCTTCAAGAAAAAGATAACCAGAGAGGGGCCTCCAACCTCCCCACCACCAAAAGTCCCCCAAAATCTGCATCCTGTGTCTCCATCCCTTTCTGTGTAGGATGTTGTTGCTATCAGCCCACTCCCTCCATTTCGGGGAGGAAGACACCTCCTTACCCTCCATTTCTCAGATCCTCTTCAAGGCAAATCTTGAAGAGTGACCATCAGTGTCTCACTCCTCCCTTACCTGTTCCCTGGGGACTGCTCCTGGATCCCTTATAAAAAAAATCCCTGGGGACTTAGCAACTTAGATTTT